TTATTTACCTCTGTCCCACTTAGCCCATGCAAACCTGCCTAACTGTTTTCCCGTCCGCTTTGTTATTCCATTCCCCTCCCCCTTCTGGATTTTTTTTTTTTTTAACTGTTTTTGAAACAACATATTGAAAGAGCACACTTTGTACCTGAAATAACTGACCTACCATGAACAACAAAATATATTCTGATAAAATTCCTGGACTTACAAGAAAAAATCCTTTTGATATCCAGGCCAAAAGATTTAGTCACATATATAAACAAGAAATAAAAAACAAAACATACAGTCATGAGGCTTTATCACAGCAAAGATTTAATCCAGAGGGAACTACCAGCAAGATGGCGGACTAGGCAGATACACTATACGGACCTTCTACAACAAAGGTTGTTGTTGTTGTTGTTAAGTGCTGTTGAGTCAGTTCCGACTCATACAGACCCTGTACAGGGTTTCCAAGGAGCGGCTAGTTAAGTTTGAACTAATGATCTTATGGTTCAAACCGACCTTGCAGTCTAGTGCATTAACCCACAGCACCACACCAGGATGCCACAACAAAGATATGGGAGACCAAATGAAAGACACATGAAAATCTTGGAACCTTGAACTTCAGAGGACATGCTACAGAAGTGAGTGCTTTCTGGAAGGAAAAGATGTTCAGGGACCACAAGAGAGGGAGACAGACTGGTGAACAGCAGGCCAAATGCAGCATGACCCTCTTGCAAGCATCTTTGGCAACAGAAAGTGGCCTGGCAGAGCAAATTCACACAGGTTATGGGAAAGGTGTGATTCTTTCTTTTCCCCAACATTCCCGATGACCAGAGGTGTGGCCAGCTCTCACCCTCATTCATCCCAGCACAGACCCCACTCTCCACGAGTTTACAGCCATGTGGTTGGGAGCCACGCCAGTGTGAGGAGGGGACCACTTGTACCACTTTGGTGCCTGGATTCAGGCAAGCTCAGCTCTAGACTCATAGAACCCGAAGAGCCACCAGTCTAGCACTTAACCCCGGGGTGGGGAACATCCAGCCTGCGGGTCATATAAGACCCACAAAATCATTTGGTCTGGCCCTGCCAAGGCAACTGCAATTCCAGCCATCATATTAGGGGTAAATTGTTTAAATGTATGACCAAATAGAGCAGGCTAATTTTTTTTAACCTTTTAATATGAATTGGGTGAAGCAAGATCATCAGCTTTACATTTACACACTCAGCTGTGCAGTCCTCCTCTCAGCCCCCTCAAGACAGGCTTCTCTTAGCCCTGTCATCTGTTACCACTGACCCAGCTGAGAGGGGGTGTATATGCTTGCATAGCTGCAAAGAGCTGAGAGAGCAGTCCTGCCTACGTGTTTTCTGATCATGGTCCTAAGTTGTAGCATGTTCCTTAATAAACCACTTAACTGTAAGTATGGCCTATGAACATGAGGGAGAATGGGAATTTCAGAGTACTTAATTGTGCTCATGCAAAAGCTGCCCTCACTTTCAATGAGGTTAACCAAGAGGCAGTCATTCAACAGAACAAGGGAATATTGCATGGCTTGAAATCAGGAAAGGTAAGCATCAGGGTTGTATCCTTTTACCATACTGTTTCAGTCTGTGTGTTGAGCAAATAATCTGATAAAGTGGATTATATGAAGAAGAACATGGCATCATGATTAGAGGAAGATTCAGTAACAACCTGAAATATGCAGATGACTCAACCTTGTTTGGTGGAAGCAAAAAGGATTATTTACTGAAATATTTACTGGAGATCAAAGACCACAGCCTTCAATGTAAAGAAAATAAAATAACTGGACCAATAAATAACATCATGATAAATGAAGAATATATTAGAGTTGTCAAAGACTTCAATTTGTTTAGATCCACAATCAATGCTCATGGAAGCAGCCGTCAAGAAATCAAACAGCATACTGCATTAGGCAAATCCGCTGCACAAGAGTTCTTGAAAGTATTAACAAGCAAAGATGTCATTTTTTGGACTAAGATGCCTAAACCACAGTATTTTCAATCACCTCATATGCATGTGAAAGCTGGATAGTGAATAAGGAAGACTGTAGAAGAATCAATGCATTTGAATTGTGGTTGTTGGTGAAGAATAATGGAATTCTATGACTGCCAAAAGAACAAACAAATTTGACTTGGAAGAAGTGCAGCCAGAATGCCCTTAGAAGCCAGGATGGTGAGACTTCATTTCTCATACTTTGGACATGTTATCAGGAGGCTCCAGTCTCTGGAAAAGGACATCGTGCTTGGTAAAGCGGGGATCAGAGAAAAAGAGGAAGATTCTAAACCAGATGGATCAACAGTGGCAGCAACAATGGGCTCAAACATAACAACAATTCTGAACATGTCACAGGACCCAGCAGTATTGTACCTAGAGCTGCTATGAGTCAGAACCAACTCAACGGCACCTAACAACAATAACGTTATCTCTGAGGTCTGTGTGGCCATTGCAACAAATTATTGAAGCTAACAAAGAAGAACAGAGTACCATGGGAGAGACAGTTGGTGTCAGAATTAGGAAAAAGGTTGGAGAGTAGAAGTATGTCTAATCTCCACCTCATAGGAACCAGCTGTGGACAGCTGTCGTCATTCCCCCCCTTGTGACTTTAGACAGGTTCTGATGTTACTATTGTTACTTCTACCACCATTTTACCAGGTAATGTAGCCATTTTTCCACTTACAGAGTATACCATGATCCTCTTATTTAGGAACTACACTAAGTATGGATAAACCTAGTGTTTAGACTATTAACTGTAATTTGAAGGCAAAATAATCCCTCAATTTCAATTAGGTCACTGAGTCCATCTACATTTTAAACTCTACAGAAGATAAATGAGATAAAAAACTCTACGAATACTTTAAACAAATAATATTTTAGATTTAAAGATGAAAAACTGTGTTATAAATTACACCTAAAGTAACAGGTAGAAAACATACCAATGAGCCAAAACCTAGGGTCCAAAAATGCTCGTTTCGGACTTCCAAAACTCCATCCAAGGTAGATACCTAATTAAAAACAACAAACAACAGCAAGCACATGACATAGGTGATCACAGTTACGTGTATTTTAGATCCAACACAGAACAGCCATGTTATGAACTTGCTCCACACCAGAGATGTAAACATGGCCAGACGCTGTAGTAGGGCACTGACTAGCTAACAGAAATCTACAACCACCTCTGTTAGATCATTACTTGAATAATGGTGGTATGAACTGGTCTTCCTTGTAGGCATATGGATTCTATCACCTGGTGTTGTACTTCAAGACAGATCTTGAAATGTTCTTTTTGATGATGAATTATATGGCCATTCCTCTGGAATTTGCCATTCCCGACATAGTACACCAAATTATTGTATGATTCAAAATGGCCAATTCCAGTCTATTTCTGCTCACTAATGCCTAGGATATCAGTATTTATGCATTCTATTTCAGTTTTTAAAATTTCCAATTTTCCTAGATTCATACTTTGTACATTCAATGTTATAATTATTAATGGGTATTTGCAGTTTTTTCTCCTCATTTTAAGTTTGTGCCCCATTAGCAAATGAAGGTCCCAAAAGCATTACTCCATTTGTGTCAGCAAAGTCACCTATGCTTTGAGAAGGCAGCTCTTCCGCAGTTGTATCAGAAGCACCTTCCAACCTGAGGGGCTAATCCTCCAGCACTATACCTGACAATATTTTAGTGCTATACATACGGTTTTTAATGGCTAAACATTCAGAAATAGTCTTCCTCTCTTTCTTCCTAGTCTGTCTTAGTCTGGAAGCTCCACTGAAACCTGCCCACTGGGTTTGTCCCTGCTGATATCTGATCTTTAAAATACTGGTGGTATAGCTTCCAGTATCACAGCAACATGTTACCAACCACAGTGTGACAAACTGACAGTTGAGAGCTGGCCCTAATTAGTTAGCATGGGGATATTTATAACAATAGCAAGTCTACCATGATCAAACACCTTAAGGGAATGAGTCACAGGGCCTGGGGGCTCAGGACCATAATCTGGGTATGGGGGTGGACATGAAGGTCAGTTAGTATAACATTATGTACAAACACATCTTACTTTGGTAAGCAGCCACTGTGGTTTTAAAATATTGTAAGTGGTCATCTGAGGTGCAACTATTGGTCTCTCTCCATTAAGAACAAAGAAGAATGAAGAACATCAAAGAAACAATTAGTCCAAAGGACTAAAGGACCATGTGAACCCCAGTCTCCACAGCTCTGACACCAGAACTAGATGACTCCCAGCTACCTACTGCTGACTGCTCGGGAAGGCACCACAAGAGGAGGTCCTGGATAAAGTGGGTAAAAACGTGGAACAAAACCCAAGCCATAATAATACACCAGACTTCCTAGCTTGACAGAGACTGGTGAAAGCCAGGGACTACAGTTCTTACACACCCTTTTGGCTAAGAACTAAACTAACTCAGCCTAAAGTGAACAATAACACCAGTTTTGATCCAATTCTGATTCCATGTTCTTCATATAAACCAGCTTCTCACATTATTTGATCAGCATACAGATTGAATAATTATGATGAAATGATACAACCTAGATGCTACTGTTCCTGATTTCAAACCACACAGTATTCCTTGTTCTGTCTGAATGACTGCATCTTGGTCTATGTGCAGGTTCTGCATGAGGACAACTAAGCGTTCTGGAATTCCCATTTTTTGCAATGTTACCCAGATTTCATTATGAACTACATAGTTAAATGCCTTTGCATAGTCAATAAAATACAGGTAAACATCTTTCTGGTATTCTGTGCCTTTAGCCAAGATCCATTTGACACGAGCAATGATAACCATTATACTATGTACTCTTCAGAATCCAGGTTGAATTTCTGGCAGTACCCTGTTGATGTACTGATTACTGATGCAATTGTTTTTTAATTATCTTCAACAAAACTTTACTTGTGTGTGATATTTATCACATCAGTCAATAATTGGCATATTCTGTTGGGTCACCTTTCTTTGGAATGGGTACAAATATGGATCTTTTCTAGGTGGTTGGCCAGGCAACTGTCTTCCAAATATCTTGGTATAGATGAGTGAGCACCTCCAGCATTGCATCTGTTTGTTAAAATGTTTCCATTGGTATTATGTCTATTCCTGGACCCTTGTTGCCAGTGCCTTTAGTGCAGCTTATACTTCTTCCTTAAATACCACTGATTCTTGATCACATGCATACTACCTCCTGAAATGATGGAGTTTCAACCAATTCTTTTTGGTACACTAACTATATTCCTTCCATCTTTTGATGTTTCCAACATCATTCATTAGATTGACTATAGATTCCTTTAATATTGTAATCTGAGGTATGAATTTTTTCTTCAGTTCTTTAAGCTTGAGTAATGCTGAGTATGTTCTTCCCTTCTGGCTTTCAAACTCCAGGTCTATATATATATATCTTTATAACACTTTATTTAGTCTTCTCAAGCTGCCCTTTGAAGTTTTCTGTTCAGCTCTTTGACTTCATCATTTAATAATTTCACTTTAGCCACCCTATGTACTATAGCAAGTTTCAAAGTCTCTTCTGAAATACATTTTGGGCTCTTCTTTCTTGTTTGTCTTCCTAATGACCTTTTATTTTCTTCATGTATGACGTCCTTAATGTCATTCCACAACTCGTCTGGTCTTTAATAGTGTTCAACGCATCAAATCAATTCTTGAGGCAGTCTCTAAACTCAGGAAAACTATACTCAAGGTCATATTTTGGCTCTCGTGGACTTGTTTTATTTCTATTCTGCTTCATTTGAACTTGTAAATGAGCAAAGAACCACGTGAGATCAAAAGGGCAGCATTTGCTTAGGGATCAAGCTCAGAAGGCAGGACGAGACAGGACAGGATAAAGGGAAATGGTAAACACAGGGAGGAAGTAGGAAGAGTGCTGCTACATTTTTGGATTGCAGTCAATGTCACAAATCAAAATGCACACAAATTTTTCAATGAAAAACCAATTTGCTCTGTAAAATTTCACCTATATCACAATATAACGTCAAAAAATAAATAAGTTAAGTCTATAGGTGGTCAAACAATCAACATATAAAAATGGGTTTAGAATTTATTGAAACCCTCAGTGTGAATATAGTCACAAAAATCACAGCATTTATATTACTGATAGGGCAGTCTTTAGATCAACACTTTACACATTGATTTCAAGTGAATGTGGCTTCCAAACTAAGAAATTCATCAAACTTTTCTATTTTTGCTGCTACATGAGGGGGTTTCAAAAAGTTCATGGAAAAATAGAATGAAAAGATAATGGAATTTTCCCACAAACGTTCTGAAACTCCCTCGTATGACTCCTATTGTGTTATTATAAAGAACATGTTGTTGTTGTTAAGTGCTGTTGAGTCAGTTCCAACTCATAGTATCCCTGTCTAGGGTTTCTGAGGAGCAGCTGGTGGGTTTGAACTGTTGATCTTGTGGATCACAGTCCAGTGGTTATCCTACAGCGCCATACCAGGAGTCTTATAAAGAACATAAAATTCCCTAAAATGCAGTAGTACTTATACCCACTCTTACAATTCCTTAATTACAAATTAAAATGTTTTTATTTATCATTCCATCTTACCTCTCTGATTAGTTTATCCAACTGACCAATAACATGAGGTGGTGTTGTCTAGGGAAAAATAAAATAAAATATAAATAACCTGGGGGGAAAAATGTTTTGCAACAGAGGTCTCAAAACAAAAATAATTGGGTTCTATCAGTGGCATGGAACTGTACATGCAGAACCTGTCCAACTTGTGTTTTGCTGTGTATAATTAAACATTTAAAAATAATAATTGAAAAAACACACAATAATAATAGAGCTTTATCACCACCTTTGCTCATGCACCATAACACAACATAATTTAGGAAAGGGCTTTAAACTAGCAGCACTAGCAGCATAAGGAATCACCCCAAGCTCATTTCTTAGTAAAGTTGTTCCAAAACTACATAAAGCTGAAAGAATCAACCTACCAACCAACCAGCGCAAAATCTTGAAGAAATGGTCAGAGAACTAACATTATGGACAGGATATAGTACCAGATGACTATTATTGATATTGCTTCTGGAGATAATGGTGATATAGCCCCTATCTTTTAGAAAAGGCATGATGCTGAGACAGAAGGTAAAAATAGCGATTATACAACCCTGGGAAACTACCTTTCTATTCAAGTGTTTGTCTATAGGTGTTCATATTATTTTAATAAGTCATTTTCATTTAACTTAATTTGAATTTGTCATTTGAAATTTTAAGCTTGAAAACTTGAAAGTCTCACTGATCCAGTGTCAGAAAATAAGATAACAATCATAACCAGATTACACAATCGTGAAAGCTCATTTATCCAGGGAAGACAGTAAGTAAGTTTCACTTCATTTCTAACAATGTCCGCCAGTAGCCAAGCATTTCACAATCTAATAGAAGTGCATGAACACTTCTATAAATTGGTAGAAAACATAGCTAATATTAAGCATTCCCATGTGGAGAAGAATCTTACCTGGAGTAATACTTTTCCACTGTACACACTCATGGGATACATCGTGCCAAATGTCATCAGAGCAATGGCTATGGCAGAGGCGGTGTCTACAGCAAAGTAATTACTAAAAGGCAAAAATGATTCTGTATCTTAATTGTATGCCTCACTGGGCATCTTACAAGTCAATCAACTGAACATCAATCATGCAAAGCAACAGGCCTATTTTATCACAATTGGCCACTACTTGTTAAGGTAGTGTCTTATGGAACAAAAAAAGGAACACTTTCCCCAACCCAGTTTAGTCAAAATATAACAATGCTATGTCTATTCGTGTGAAAAGGGATGTTGTTATTAGGTGCCATCGGGTCGGTACAGACTCATAGTGACCTTATGCAATGAGGGCAAAAAATACTGACAGCATTTCCCCACCATGTATTTTTCAGTTGATCTCCTTGTAAACTAGAAAATATATATATAATATTTGCTTCATTGAGAAATATAAAATCTTTAGTAACTTCTGATGCAGAGAAACTAACAGACTCTATCAACAATTCTACAGTTTTCCTGTACACAGTAACTTCCCAGTATTTGCTATTAATATTTTCCAAAATTCTCCTCAAATTTTACAATGTAAGAGTCTCCAGAAACTCTGAGGAACACTGTGGCCAGAGTGCAACATTTCATACATAGTTCATATTGAGCTTTCTACTGACAACACAGAACAAAATGCCAACAATAGCAAGCTGTTGTCTACTTCATTTTTTTCCCCCACATGTTGGGAATACAGAAACTTGAGTAAAACATAGTTCTTGTCCTTGAAATAGCAAGAGATACACATGAAAAATCATAATGAATGAAATAGTGTATGTTTTGCCGTTTTTTTGTCTCAACAACAACAAAATAAAATTATATATATAAATGTGTTATTTTTTTAAACCATAAGGAAACATTTTGGGTACTAAAGCAGAAATGTCTATGGGTTACTACTATATGGATGTACAACAATGAGTGGAAAACCTACCAGGGTAGGGATAATCTAAAAAGTATAAACATAAAAACAAGAGATTACATTTGAGCTGAGCCTTTAAAGATAAAGCTAGCAAGATAATACCAGAAACCAAATAAACTGCCATCAAGTCACTTCCAACTCAACTCTTCATACAAGGGTTTCCAAGACTCTGAGTCTTCATGGAGCAGAGAGCCTCATCTTTCTCTGGTAGAGCATCTGGTGGGTTTAAACTGCCAACCTTAGGGTTAAGAGTTCTACCTGGGTTCCTAGCAAAATAGTAAGGGGAAGATATCTGAGATAGTGAAAATATCATATGCAACAGCAAGAAAAACCTGATCTAGCCAGTAAACTATAAACATGAGCAGTTAGTTGTAAATGGAGCAGAAGCTATACTGGCAAAGCTAGTAGGGCCTTGATTGCACAGGACTAACAACTTACAATTTTTAAAAATTATTTGGTGGAGTTTGAAACAGGAAAATATTCTATTTTGAATGATCACTTTGGCAAAATAGAAGATAACTAAAGATAGAAAGAGTTAGAATTAGAATGGAAGACTACTCTAGTAGGCAAATGAAATGATGATGAAGGTCTCAGTAGGGACAACAGTAAGAATAGGAAGGAGGGGACAGATAAATATTGAGAAAGGTTAGTCAGACTTGGTGACTAATTAGAGTTGGTTTGGGAAGGGAAGAGTGGAGTCAAGAATGTATTTAAGAATATAAGTATTTAAGAGGAGAAATACAAGAAAGGAGAAAATAGGTATGGCTGTGGTAAAAAAAAAATGAATAAAAGGCAGAAAAAGAGGACTTTTGGGAATTCAACACAGATCTGTATCTTGGAAAATACAGATCTGGAAATCATGTAGAGCTAGCAAATAAAAACAAATAATTGTATGTGATCTCCCAAGAGAATATGCCAACCAAGAAAACTAAAATTAAGGGCAGACTCTAGTAAAAACTAATACTCAAATGGTGGTTACCCATAGAATTGTTAAGTCACAAAATGCTTAGCTGAATGCAGCTATAAAGTCTATCTTCTTAAAGGTTTGAAAAAAGAATTATTTCACACCTACTTCCTCTTCTCCTCTCTCTTTCTCAGCAATAGAAGTAGGGGCTTAGTTCTCTGCCTTAATGCCTCTTCTAATTCACTTGGGTCAGCAATGGGCAATTTAGACAGGTTTCCCAGTGTGCATATTATGCACTGTGGTAAGAGAGACTTATTGAAGCCAACTCCCTACTTTTTCAGAGGAAGATAGTTGAGGACAAAGTTACACACATCATCAACAAAACATTAAGCTTAACCACTACTCATCCCACCATGCCCTTATAAGACACGTCAAGAAAGTGATATCACACTTAACAGAAATAAAATGTACTTACTTAATTTCAATTAGCATATATGTAATACAAAGAGCAAATGCTCCAGCAAGATCAATCAAAACAAATGGATTCATTCGGGGAAGGAAGATACTGCTAAGTCCTGGAATAATTCCACATAAGCTATAAAAAAACAAAGAAGCAGAAGTCATGTAAAATTACTGAAAACCTTGTAAAATGTTATTGAATTTTAAGATTATATAATAGAAGTTTTAAAGGAAGAAAAGAGAATTGGGGGGTAAACTTTTTTCACTCAAAAACCTCTTATATCATTTATTAAAAAGAAAGATAAAGTAGAGTGATATTAAGAATCAGATCTGTTAATAATAATAATAATAATAATAATTTGATCTGTGAGTCTAGTAGTAACTTTAGCAATAATTCAAGTTCTCACAATAGATAAATTTTTCCTGCATTCCTTTCAATTTCCTCAAAAGATGAATTTTACTGCATCTTAAAAATATAACCAAATAGGTCTTAGGAATCATCCATCTAGTCTTATTTCTATAGCTATACATTTCTCAGAGCTCATTCATCACTGGCTGAACCTTGCTGTGTTTCATTGTACTTTACTTTATTGAACTTCACAACGGTTTTTTTGTTTTGTTTTAAAAAATTGAAGGTTTGTGGAAATTCTGTGTTAAGCAAGTCTATCAGTACCATTTTTCCAACAGCATGCTGGAACAGATTTTATACCACTGTGTCACATTTTGTTCATTCTTACAACTTTCAATGAGTTCTGGTATGTTGCTGTTGGATAAATCCTGGACCCTTAATTGCAAGGTCACAAGTCTAAATCCACCAGTTGCTCCTTGGAAACCCTATACAGGATTGCTATGTGTCAGAACCAGCTTTAAGGCACCTAACAACAACACAGTATTTCAATTTTTTTCATAATGCTCTACCACACTTCAATGGCTATAATATAGTATAAACATAACTTTTATAAGCAGTGTTGCTGTTAACTGCTGTTGACTAATTTCCAACTCATAGCAACCCTGTATAGGGTTTCTGAGGAGTGGCTGGTGAGTTTGAACCACCAACCATGCAGTTGAGTGTTTATCCTACGGTGCCACACCGGGACTAGGAAAAAACAATTGTGTGACTTGCTTAACTGTGATGTTCGCCTTCTTGCCATGGTCTGGAACTGAATTCCAAGGTATACCTGGATCCCTTTTTCAGAGACATAGATATTATCCAAAACTTTTGTGGTATCCTTGTTTTTAATTGCCATCCTTGCCGAATTAAAGCAGCTCAACCTGATATAAGTCCAATGTCATGTCCCTTAAGAATTAACTCAGCTTTTCTGGGATTGGTATTTTGAACAAGCAATCCCTGGTCTCATCTGAATCCTACCAATGTGTTTTTCATTGAAAAAAATTTTGGAGATACTAATGAAAATGAATTGTTGTTGTTAGGTGCCATCGAGTCAGTACTGACTCATAACGACCCTTTGTACAACAGAGCAAAACACTGCCCAATCCTGGGTCAATCTCACAATTGCTGCCACACTTGAGCCCACTGATTCTGCCATATTGCCAATCCATCCACTGGGGTCTTCCTCTGATTCTCTACCTTACCAAACATGATATCCTTCTCCAGTGACTGGTCCCTTCTGACAATATGTCTGAAATATAAGAGATGAAGTTTGGCCATCCTGGCCTCCAAAGAGCACTCTGGCTGTACTTCTTCCAACACAGATCTGTTGATTCTTTTGACAGCCCATGGCACTTGCAGTATTCTCCTCCGACACCATAACTCAAACGCATCAATTCTTCTACGGTCTTCCTTATTCATTGTCCAGTTTTTGCATGCATATGAGGTCACTGAAATACATGGCTTGGGTCAGACGCACCTTAGTCTTCAAGCTGACATCTTTGCTCTTAAACACTTGTAAAAGGTGTTGTGCAGCACATTTGCCTATTGCAATATGTCATTTGATTTTTTGACTGCTGCTTTCATGAGTGTTGACAGTTGATCCAAGAAGAATGAAGTCCTTGACAACTTCAATCTTTTCTCTGTTGATAAGAATGTTGTTTATTGGTCCAGTGGTGAGGATTTTTGTGTAGAAATTGGAACCCTCATAAAGAGTAATGAAGTCCTAATACATACTACAACATGGAAGAACCCTGAAAACCTTATGTTGCATGAAATCAGTCAGTTATAAAAGGATAAATATTGTGTGATCCCATTTATACGATACATCTAGAAACAACAAATGTATAGAAACCAAAGTTTACTAATGGTTACCAAGAGTGGGGAGGAGGAACGGGGAAGTCATTCTTTTAGGAAGTACTTCGTATCTGTTTATGGTAAAGGGTAAAGAAAAACTTGGCACAGTGTACTGACAATGATTGCACATATTAATATAACTGGTGTCACTGAAATGTTCATGTAAAAATTGGCAAATGTGTTATACAAGCAGTCCCCAACTTATGATGGGGTGCCCTTCCAGTGGTTCCATTGTAAGTTGATCCAGGAGTAATGTGAATATCTCTTTTAGTTTTCATTACTACTGCTTTTATTACCACAATTTTTATAAAATACCAATCTCGGTCTTTTCAGTTTGGAATAAGACTGATAGCACGGGCAAATTACATGCTGCAACACTGTGCATAGTTGTGTTGTGTTAATACATATTACTAACTATAAAATGCACAAAACCAAAAACAATGACGGTCCTAGCTGGTTTATTATAGCTGTAGTACATTGTAAGCTGTGGACTACCTGTATATGTATGTATGTATGTATGTATGTGTGTGTGTGTGTATATATATATATATATATTGGTGGTGGTTACGTGCCGTGGAGTCGGTTCTGACTCATGGAGTCGGTTCTGACTCACAGCGACCCTGTACAGGGTTTACGGGAACAGAAAGCCTCTTCTTTCTCCTATGGAAGAGCTGGTAGTTTCGAATCATTGACCGTGAGGTTAGCAGCCTAATTCATAACCACTACGCTCACTACCAGAGCTCCATATATATATATACCTTTCATTGTGAATTGAGTGAAAGTTTACAGAAGCAGGTCATCAATTTTATGTTCAACAGATTATATACTTTGCTTCATTTCACGGTTGCAATACCCTCCATGTACTAACAGTTAACAGCATTTACCACCTCTCACATTAACTATTGCATTCCTCCCTGTGTCTCCTGCTACCTTCATCTTTCTTCTGCTAACCTCTCTCTTGTTGTATATTGCCTACCCTCTAACCCAAAAATAATTTAACATGTGTCTACCCTCTAGCCCAAAAATAATTTTCCCAGCCCGCCTACTTCTCTACCACGTAGCCATCAAAGATTGTTTTTATCAAGAAAACCTTTTGTTTTGTTTTTTAAACTTCTTACAACATTGGTCTCATATAGTGTTTGTCTTTTTGTGATTAATTTCACACATCATAACGTCCTCTAGGTTCAACCATGTTGTGAGGTGTTTCTCAGATTCATCATTATTCTTTGAAATTTTGTAGTATCCTATTGTGTGTATGTACCAAAGTTTGTTTAACCATTCTTCTGTTGATGGGCATTTAGGTTATCTCCATCTTTTTGATATGTCTCTTGTATATGACAGCAAATTGAAGGATAAGGATTCTTATCCATTCTGCTCTTAATGTTTCTTGACTGGTATATCTAATTCATTTATATTCAGTGTAGTTATCAATAGGTATGAATTGACTGTTGTCATTTTTCTGGGGTTTTTTGTGGTGCTCCTGGATTCTTTGTTCCACATAATTTTCTATGTTGAGTTCATTTTGTCTGTGCATTTTCTTTCATTTTCTTTTGTGTTAATGATACTAAATCCTTCTTATTTTCCTCTTTTTTACTTTGATGCACAGCTATATCATTTTTCTTTGAGGGTTATACTGTAATTTATTAGTTATTTCCCTGATTAAGACAGTTGGTTTTATTTTGATATCTACTTAACTTCCTTGTCATTTATAAAATAAGTTCTGAATCTACACTATTTCATCTTTTTGTTTTGTATTTGACTTCGTTATATATTAATGTTTCTAGTTCCCTATTTTCAGTCTCATAGGTTTGTTTTACTTTTAATACTTCTATATCTGGAGTCCTGATGTAGCACTGTGAGTTAATGCGCTGGAATGCAAGGTCAGTTTGAACCACAAAGTCAGCAGTTCAAGTTCACCAGCCACTCCTCAGAAATGTTATACAAGGTCGCTATGAGTCAGAACCAACTCCACGGTACTTAACAACATCAGGATTGATTTGTGAGTGTGTTGTTATGTATCTCAGGTTGCTGTCTGCTGTTGTTGGTTATCAGACTAAATAACACCCCTTAGCATTTTTGGTAGTTGGTCCGATCATTACAAATTCCATTACTATCTGTTTATCAAGAAATGTCCTAATTTTTCTATCACACTTGAGGGACAGTTTTGCTAGATATATGATTCTCTGTTGGCAATCTTTTTCTTTCAGAGTGCTGTATATGTCATTCTATTGCCTTCTTCCCTGCTTGGTTTCTACTGAGAAATCAGAACTAAGTCTTATTGGTTCTCCATTGTAGGTAACTTTGTTTTTCTCAAGCTGCTCTCAGGATTCTTTCCTTCTCTTTGATTTTGTAGAATTTGATTGTACTATATCTTGGTGATTTTCTTTTGGGATCTGTTCTGTTTTGGGTTCATTCAGCTTCTTGTAGGCTTATCTTCTCATCTTTCATGATGCTAGGGAAATTTACTTCCTACAGCTCTTCAACAATTTTCTCTGTGTTTCTCTTTCTGCTCTGGAATTTCAATCACCTGCAAGTTGTTCCTCTTCATGGTGTCCCTCATAACTTTCTTCAGATTTTTTGATTGTTCTTCGACCATACTATAATTGAAAGATTTATTTTCAAGCTCACTAATTCAGGCTTCCAGTGCCTCACATCCACTCCTTGGCCCTTTTAATGCAGTTCCCATTTCTGAGATCTTAGTATCAATCTTCTGGATTTCCACCTGCAAGTTTTTTGGTGTTTTTTTTTAAATGTTTTATTGTGAATTATGTGATAGTTTTTATTGGAGAACTTTAGCTTTACATTCGTTCTTTTGTATATCGTTTCACTGCCATGGCTACAATCCCCTCCATGCATCATCAACCACCCAAAGGGTATACCCTGCAAGCCTGCCCCCCACAATTCCCCCTACAGTCTACAGCCCCTCTCCCTCTCTGGGTCTAAAGTCCCCAGCTGCTCCATCGCTCCACATCATCGTTTCTGCCTCCATCTCAGGCATCACTGCTTCTCTGGGTAGGGTTCCGCTCTCTGCTTTTCTCAGTCCGGAAGTAGTTCACGGGATCCCTTGAAGGACCTGGTTTAAGTGTCTGTTACGACCATAGGGAAACTGGGGGCAGGGTGACTGGTTAAATACTGATCTGGTAACTCTGTAGGTTTTATAGGTCTAGAGCCAAGCCCACCTGAATCCAGTGCTAAAGTGGCCCACTAAATCAGTGCAGCTGGCCCCCATTTTAGGCTAGTGTGGCTCCCAACCACACGACTCCAAACTCACAGAAATTAGGGTCTGTGCTGGGGGGTGGTGAATGAGGTTGGGTGCTGGCCACCTCTCTGGTTACCAGGGAATCGTGGGGAAAAGAAGAAATCACACCTTAATACATAAATCTGCTCTGCTAGGCCGTCCTCCACTGCCAGAGCTGTTCACAAGATGGTCAAGCTACATTTGGCCAGCTGTTCATCGGTCAGTCTCCTTCTCTCTCAGGTCCTGCTTGGCCTCTCCTCCCAGCTAACACTCCATCCACCTCGCTAATCTTTCTTCTGAAATTCAGGGTGCCAGAATTTTCAACTGGTCTGTTTTATTTTGTCTCTCGGTACCTTTGTTGTAGAGGGTCCATGTAGTGCGTCTGCCTAGGGTGTATGTGTGTGTGTGTGTGTGTGTGTGTACACACACAATAAGAAAAAAAATTTTTTGAGATCTGTGCTATTGATCAACAGTAGTTATGAAAAAGTGAACGTGCACTAGATCTCATCTTGTAGCCCAGTAACAACCTTGATCATGTCCTGTACATGACTACAGACCATGCAAACTATAGCCAGTTCCTTTCTATTTACCCATGATTTGTCACCCTAAAGCCTTTTGTTTTTCTTTTCAAGGAAACATTCTACGTTGATATGACTAATGTCCCTCTGCAAGGTTCCTCAGGGCCCTTCACAAATGAAAGTTCCTTCGAACAGTGTCAACATTTTTTGGGATCATCTTCATCCTTGAAATAGATGTGGCAAAGAGAGCTCATGTATATTTCTTTCAAATTATGTACATCATTAAATGCCATAATATCTTACCTTCGACTAAGATCTGCAACATGCTCTTGAAGCCAACTCGTACTAGCAGCTTTAAAAAGAAAATACTTAAATTATTCATAAAGAATAAACCACCACCAGATTTATTTTAAAAATAAGTTTGGCAATGACAGTAAACACTATACAAGGACATGCTACCGGCTCACATCTAGATCGTTTTCTTCTATGCCCTTAAGATACACAGTCAGAAGCAGTTTCAACTACAATATACAGATGACTTGAAGGAATTAATCATATGTCATTGTTTCTATTAACTCAAAGTTTTAAAGACCCCTTATACTGTACAGGGGACCATGGTGGCTCCATAGAATAATTACTAGACAAGGTTGGGAGTTTGAGCCTACCAGCCACTTTTTGAGAGAAAGATGAGGATTTCTGATACCACAAAGATTTTTTTTTAAATCCCAGGAAAACCTATACAGGGTCACTTCGAGTCAAACAATATTGTAGAGTTTCCCAGCCAGTACACTGAAAATGGGTTATGCCTATCCTAATGATTGATTCGCTCTAGAAAGGCCAGGTGTGGAGCTGAGGTACATCTAAAAACACCTGCCAGTAACCATCCCTGGATAAGCACCCTCCAGACTCAAGCATCTTGTTCTGTTTATCTCAGGGTGCTACAGAAATATTCAACAGCACCTAACAATAACAACAACTTCCAGGAGACTGGAGGACCTGTAAGCTAGCTCTCTGTTATCTTCAGAATACACTTTATCATTGACAAAACTTGTCTTTATGAGATATTAATTGGATTTTTTTATTAATGGTAAATAAAAAACATACCTTCAGAGACATAAGCAAAAGGTTTATTCCGAATAGAAAGCATCGTAAACAGGTTGAAAGAAAGGGCCACAAATGTACCAACTAATAATCTTCCCCTAAAAAGAACAACAATAATATCAACTTTCTTGGCAATAACACAGTGCAATTTTTCATGTTGTATGCAAAGACACTAGGAGATGGGACGGTGAAGTGGACTACTTTAATGATTTGGTATTTGTAGCATCAGAATCTGAACTTGGTTTCCAGCACCATAGCTCATGTTCTGTCAGTGGTTGTTCCTTCTCACATAAGACAGTAAAGAACTGTCAACATTAATAATACTTTCTTACAAATAATTTTTGTTGAAATTCTGTATAAATGGTAATGGTATTCAGTTGAAAATAAGCTGAACAGATCAGACTTTCTAAAATAAAATGATCAGAATAGGTAAGGTCAATATAGTTGGCAGCTATGTTGGAGTCCTGGTGTGGCACTGTGAGTTAATGCGCCAGACTGCAAAGCCATTTGAACTACAAGCTCACCAGTCACTCCTTGGAAACCCTATGGAAAACCTATGCAGGGTCGCTATGGGTTGGAACCGACTCGATGGCACTTAACGACAACGTGTTGTAGATAATTCTAGCTTTTCTATAAGGACTACTAAGAGATTTTGGCAAATTTTAAATTACATAATACTACAGGGAGCTATTGACTGAGGCCTGGAAATAATGGGGGACATAAAGTCAAGAGAGAAGAGGCTTCTTGTATCAAAACATCTAAAGCTTGAGAACAGACAAGAGTGAAAAGGAACAGTTAGAGGATTTAGGGATTTTGTTTTTGAAATATCAGTAAAATGTATATTGCCATGCTTTGAACTCTGATACTGAAGAAAGCAACCATTATCTAATAATACACTAATTGATAACTGGGAATCAAACTTAATAGTAAATTATCTGTTAAGTCAAAAATAAAATCTCACGTGTGTATCTCAGGCTGCTCCAAAAAGCGTTCTGCACTAAAAAAAAAAAAAAAAAAGCGTATGCGTTATTAAATAAGTCTTCTGATTTATGAAATTAGAAAGCTTTATTAAATATAGATACACAACAATCCAACTTAAGGCTAACAAAACTTTTTAATATGATAATCGACTAATGATTATTAGCCCTGATGAGGTTGACCAAAATTATCCTCAATCTGTACTGATTTTTGCAAAACACACGAACATAATACATACAAGCTTATAATATGCATGGTGCACACAGGAAACTAACATACAAGAGAGTTGCACAGTTTGCAAAAAACTGTATCATGTGTGCATTATTTGCATAAAAATACGGTATTGTCAATCTTTCTCTGCCAAACCTAGTTCAATAGATGTGTGATAAGCAATAAAACATGACTGAATCCCTTTTGGGTTGTTTTGTTTTTTTCATTCATATCCACCTCTGAATGAATTAAGTAGCATTTAAGAAGGTAATTAAAACAAAGAGCTAAACATGAAGAAACTGTCCTATCAAACTTCCACTATCCAACACCACTCATTTAATTTGCAAAGCCAATCAAACCAAGAATTTATCTCACTGTATTCATTCAGATTCTCAAAGGTGTGACAGGCAGAATTTAGAAAGTACCTTTCTTTTAAGATAAAGAGGGCTCCCAACTGTGCCAAAACTGTGGAGGCAAATACAGCCAGGACTTCTAATCTTTCAAATCTGAAATCAGAAAAATAAATAGATCGGCATACTTCTTTCAACTGATAAACCAGTTTCCCTAGAAAATGTTTACATTCATTTATTCAGTCCACCAAAACAGATCGGCATATTTCTTTCAACTGATAAACCAGTTTCCCTATAAAATGTTTACATTCATTTATTCAGTCCATCAAAAAAATCTATGTGTCCTCCTCTGAGCCAGGAGTTCTGGTGTGGCACTGTAGGATCAACATTAGACTGTTAACTGCAAGATTGACAGTTCAAACTCACCAGGCACTCCTTGGAAATCTTATACAGGGTCTCTATGAGTCGGAAAGGACTCCAAAGAACTTAAAAACAACAACACTGAGCAAACACTGTCAGAAGAAATTTCAGAGTTCCTAGAAGGATAATAAACAGTAAGAATCAGATTTTTTTGAAAAGGGCCTATTTGTACGATACACACTCTTAAGACCCACTATAGCTCTCATCTTTCTAGAAATAAACATCATACTAATTGTTAACAATTCATTTCAAGCACTGGTTTAAGTGCATATCATTTTATTTCTTCAGCTGAACCTTCTGATCCTTATTTTTATCTACTCTTTTTTAAAAACAACAGATAAGGAATTTGAGACAAAAGGAGGGAAAGTAACTCTCTAGCATCAGATAGTTAGCAAGCAGAGGAGTCCAGCTTTCAAACCTAAGAGCTCTTGCTTCAGAGTTCATGATTTTAACCACTTCCTATACTGCCTGCCTCTCATATCTATACACTGTTGTTGTTGTTGTTGTTAAGTGTCATCGAATCAGTTTCAACTCGTAGCAGTCCTATATAGTTTCTGATGAGTGACTGGTGAGTTTGAGCTGCCAACCTTGTGGTTCAAACCAACCTTTTGATCCAGTGTTTATCCAGGATTCCATACATACATAACTGTAGTTACTATAGTTATTTATAAATAAGTTCTCCAGACTGTAACATGGAGGTCAGGGACTGATGTCTTATTCATCTCAGTTTTTTTCACTTCACATGGTCTAAAGCACTCAATACTTGTGGTAAAAATAACTGCTTCATATTTTATAAGAAAAAAACTATGGAGATCCAGAAAATAATTAATGTGTATTACACTGCTGGCTGTAAAATGAAAAAAGTGTAGAATTATTAATTCACCATTATGCAATATTAAAAATAAAACAAAAATGTCCATTTATTGACATGGGAAGATGTAAGTTAAAAAAAAAAAAAAAAGACTTATGCAGTATGTAAATGATGCAATGTTATTTATGGAAATTCATAGGCTGATGGTAAATGTATATGGAAATGCAAAAGGTAACAACCTCAGTTTCAGAATACATTTTTGGGTTAACATAAATTTATACAATACTGTATTTATTCACTCTATATGCTGAGTAATAAAATCCAAGAAGCTGGATTATATGGAGAAGAACATGGCATGAGGATTGGAGGAAGACACATTAACAAATGGTGAGGTGAAGTTGCCTGATATAACCTTGATTACTGGAAGCAAGGAGTACTTAAAATACTTGCTAATGAAGACCTGGAGCTAGAAAACCAAAAGGAAAAACACATTCAGCATTTCTCAAGCTGACAGAACTGAAGAAAACATTCAAGCCTCAACATTCGTTACTGAAGGATTCTCTGGGCAAATTATTGAATAAAGCAGAAAGCATCAAAAGAAGATAGAAAGAGAGAACAAGATGGAAGATCGGGTGGAAGTGCAGTGAGGAGCTCCGTCAGCAACAATACAGAATACCAGACCAAGCAGGCTCAGGGGATGGTGCCAGAACTCTGAATCACAAATAAAGGAATATTTAGAAGGTTGGAAGGCTTACAGCTAGGGAAATTTGTAGCAGAAACAAGAAATCCAATGTTTTCTGATTCAATATGCTCAGCAGCTCCCAGAGCTGCCATCTTAGGGGAGACCAAGCCGGAGAAGGATCAGAGCAGCCACAGATGCCTGACAGAACCGCAGAGATAAAGGTGTGGATATTCTTTTTTTTTTTTTTGTATCTGTTCAATGGTCCTTGCTGTGTGCGCACCTCCATCCTGGTGAGTAGAGGGGGTGCCTGAGAAAGTGGAAAACCCACCCCCACCCCCAGAGGGTTATACTACACATGCGTACAGATGTCCTTGAAATTTAAAGTAACAGTTTCCACTTAAAACAAACAGCAGTGCACAATGGTCACAGCTGGCCCTGAATTGTTTATCACTAAGAAAAAGGCGAGAACGGGGATAGTGGAGCAGGACAGGCAGACTAAAAAAGGAAATAGGCAGAAAATTATATCGTCACTTCATAACAACCATTCAGTGGCATCCTGAAATTTCTCAAGAAGAAGAGTGAAAAGGGAAGCTTATCTCCTAATCACATCTACTTGGAGATGATCAGAAAGCATAAAAAATACCAAAATACACACCTATTTAAGTATTAAGGCCACAGCTAACTCTTGAAATAAGCCCCAAAAAACAGAATCAGATGATTATATCAGCACATGTCCAGAAATGAGATAAAGTGACTGAGGCAAATGAGCTGGCAGTGGACCTACACTCCAGACTAGAAGATGGACAGGCTTTGGAAATACCTGAAAAGGAATTCAGAAAAATGCTTATAAAATGTATCAAAACACTATACAACGGAGTTGAGAAAATTAAGGAAGAAGTCAAGAAAGCACTACAGGAGCAATCAAACAAGATAGATACAGCATTGGAAACAATTCAAAACCTATAAAAAAAGGTCCAAATGATTAATAATAGAATATCAGAAAAGGATAATACACTGAAAGGGCAAAAGAGTAGAACAGAAGAAACAGAAGCCAGAACTAGTGAGCTAGAAGATAAATCTCTCAACACTACTAAGATAGAAAAACAAGCACAAAAAATGATTTAAAAAATCTCAAGAAGGCCTAAGATTCATGTTGGACAACATGAAGAGGAATAACTTAAGATTTATCGGCATTCCAGAACAGGAAGAATCACACAAGTCCACAAAGGAGATAGTTAAAGAGCTGCTGGAAGAAAAGTTCCATAACATCCTGAAAAGAAAAAAGATAAGCATTTAAGAAGCTCAACGAACCTCAGGAATAGACCCTAAAAGAAAATCACCAAGACATATCATAATCAAGCTCTCCAAAATCAAAGATAAGGACAGAATACTGAAATCAGCTACGGAAAAGATAAGTATAACATACAAAGGCAAGCAAATCAGATTAAGCTCGGATCTCTCAACAAAAACCATACAAACCAGAAGGCAATGGGGAGACATACATAAAACCCTGAAAGAAAAAACTTACAACCAAGAATCCTCTACCCAGCAAAGCTGTCAATCAAATATGATGGTGTAATCAAAACATTCCAGTATAAACAGAAGCTAAGGGATTTTGCCAAAGCCAACCCTGCTATGAAAAACATCCTAAAGGAAGTTCTGTGGAATGAGAACCAACAAGAACAGACAACAACCAGAGAATGACATACGTGGCAGCATCACCCTGAACTCAGTCGACAAATGGAAGAGTCAAGAACAGAATAAAATGATAAGAACAGAGGATCTGGGATATCAGTCTATGATCAAAACAGTTACAATGTGAAAGAAGGTAAACACAGAGGAACAGATATCCAGATGGTGAGAAGGTCAGGTAGATTGCAGGATAAAATAGACTGTCTTAAATGAAGGGAAGAATTAATGGAATATAAGGTAACCACAACAATGGGGTTGGGGTTGGGGTTTAGTTTGGGTGTTGGGAAGAGCAATACAAGAAGGGGGAGGAGGTGGAAGAACAATATAGATAGGGGAACACTGAGACAGGTTTGCATGGCCTAAGTGGGACAGAGGTAAACAGTGATGAATGCTCAACCTTGGAACAACAGGGCTCTGTGATACAGGGATCTAGGCATAGTTTGAAGAGGAGAAATAATACTAAAATGCTTGACTGTCTTATGAATATTGGTTTCCCTTGCCTACTATGGTAAAATAGACACTTAAGTAGGATAGAAAGGAATGTTGGGAAACATAATTACAGAAAACTTGTAAGCCCGTCTTCAGCCTATAATTAACTGGAATACTAAAAAGGGTTCTAGAACTTGCCCAGTGTAATCGGCCTCTTGGAAAGCCTTTGCAGAGTACAGGACTTTAGGTGGAATCCTGAGTTCCATCCAGAACCTTCTGAGGTGGGATATCCCCACTGGCAAGGACAAGCAGACCAGCCTGGAACAGCTAGAGCAACAGAAGATACATCTTCAAAGAAAGATCATCATGGAAAACCCAACACAAAAATGTCAGCATGACCGGCTACTACAAGAATAAGCAAACTGTTCACCAGGAAGTCATCAAGACAAGCAATCGAGTTCCTTCAGGACAAGCTCCCCTCTAAGACTGAAACTCAAAGGAAACACATGAACAAACATGTCAGCTTGCTGGCAACCACACTGGTCTACTGGTGAGTGGAAAGGCAGCAATGAAGAAATGGACTGAGTTCAACCATAGTCCATTGACTCCCATTGACCTGGGCTGAGAGAGAGAAGAGGAAGGGCTGGTTGGTGCAAAGTGTGGTGAGATCTGGGACACTTGAGCCTGTGGACAAGGACATAGCCACAGAGGGCTAGAGCTGAAAGTGAAGCATTCAGCTGATATGAAGTGAGGGAGATGCACAAGAATACCCAAACTTGCAAACAATACCCATTTGTAAACAGTACCTAGCCTTAATGGCTTAATAATCACAAGTCGACTAGAGAAAGATTACAAAAAACATATATTTTTTTGTTGATAAAGGAAACAAGGGTAAATTGCTATAATTTGATGAACGTGACCTATACTCATGGAGGTAGTAACTCTAAATACCAACAGAGAGGGAAGGAGTCTTCACATCAAATATCAATGTTATTCCCTCTGTACGCAGGGTAGATAGGGATGGGCAACTTAAACATTGGCTACCTAAAATGATGGGGCAATAAAGACATGAAGTGACTGGCTTACAAAGTTTGAAGAGTATCGGGAGAAGAAAGGGTCCCC